GTTTCGTTTTTCACAAAGTGAATGTCACTTAGTACGCATCCCAACCCATTCTCACCTTCCTGTTTTAGAGGCTGAACTAAAAACTACATTTTCTAGATGCTCTTTAAATTAACGTTTCACATTTGACCTAAGTGCAGCTCAGCAGACATACCTGCATAAGATATGGAGGGCAGAAAGTAACACGTAATGATAGTTCTGCCCGAGGAAGTTAAACAACTACTTCTTCTTTCTTCTTCTTCTTCTTTTCTTTTAAAGGTAAGTATGGTGGCAGCAGCCTTCTGACTCAATAGCATGGTCCACAATTGCAGTAGCCCCCGTAGCAGGCAAAGTCCGCAGTGTCATTCTGGGGACTGTTCCCAGAAGCTTCATCAACTCTGTTGATTCAGCCCAAATGTACATCTTTCTTTCTAAATAAATCCCATCTACTACAACTACTTAGAACATTTAAATGCTCTTGCTACAGACTCTTGAACAAGTACGAAGTAAACAGGGACACACAAAAAGCAGCATCCTGTTAGCAGTTAGAAACCTAACAAGGGTTAACAGCTTATAGATACAGATATAGCAAAGACCTGGAAAGAATTATAATTGAGAAGCCCAAAGGGCTAAGGGCCAGATAACAAGGAGCACAATAAAGAGTTAAGACAAAGCTTTCAATAGGTTAAATCTGGAAGAGAAAGAACTGCCAGCAAAACTGAGAATCAGAGATAGGCAAAGAACCAAGAAAGAAGAGGACTCAAAAAATGAAGAAGGCGTCTACACAATTAACTACTAGAGATGACAAACAAGAGAAGAATTTAATCTGTTTTTTACATTACTTCCTTCTTCAAAACTTATCACTAGATATAGAATAATGTTTATACTCACTCCAAAATTGGGTCCAAATCACCCTTGTCTGCTAGTGTTGCTCAATAAAATAACTTCTAATTACTAATCACACAGTCTATTTAAATTAAAAACGAAACAAAACAAAACACACACACAACTCTTCTCTGGATCACATTCACACCTAGCACAATGCTACTCAAGCGTGCTAACAAAGCTGGCCGTTTGAACAGGTAGTTTCAGAAGAAACCGGTGGAAATAAGGCTGCAGGAGATTAAAAAGTTAATTAAATTGACTTGGAAGGTACATGAAATAAATGTTATAATGATGGTAATGTTCTATATCTTTTTTTTTTAATGTTTATTTATTTTTGAGAGACAGAGCAGGAGTGGAGGAGGGGCAGAGAGAGAAGACCCAGAATCTGAAACAGGCTCCAGGTTCCAAGCCGTCAGCACAAAGCCCAATCGGGACTCGAGCTCACGCGCCGTGAGATCATGACCTGAGCCGAAGTCAGGCGCTCAACCAACTGAGCCACTGAGGTGCCCCAATAATGTTCTATACCTAGACAAGGCTATAGGTTACAAAGATGTATGACTTTGCCTAAACTATGGGTATGATATACATAAGATCTGTACACTTTATTGTATATAAGTTTTACCCTAAAAAACAAATAATTCATGATGGGCACAATAAGTATTTAGGAGTAAAATATACTTACTTTGAAACACAACAAAATAGAAGATGGAATGATAAATATATAGAGGAAGAGAGGGGGAGGGTAGGATGGATAGAGAAGTATATAAGGCAAAATATAAATTACAGAATCTAGGTTTTCAAGTACTTAGGTATTCAGTTGTTCAGCAAACAGTTCTTGCAACTTTTCTGTGATTAGAATTTTCTATAATAAAACGTCAGGGAAAGAAAACAAAAAGTGGAAATGAAGGCATGAGTTTGTCAATTTAGAAAAAGGAAGGAAGGAGGGAGGGAAGGAGAAGGAAGAAAAAAAAGGAAATGATCTTAGAGAAGAAAAAGAAGGTACATACAATGCCTGTGAGAGTGGGAGATCTTCCCTCAGCCTCTAATTTTAGACTGCCTACACAGAATAGTTCTGGCCTTAGGCTCTTGTTCTTGACTCAAAGAAACTGCTCAGTTGCTAAACTCCATTCATTTCAGAGTAATCCAAATCTGTGGAGTCTAGACCCTTTGCCTGTATGATAATCTATTCCGCATTCTTTTTACCTGAGTTTCTAAATACCTCCTTAAACTGACTTTTAGGTAAGACCTCTGGCCAATCTGGCATATCATAAATGGTCACCCTCTTGATCCGATTCTGGCTCCTTCTACCCATAGGGCTCCATGGCAAGGAAATATTAAAACAAAAGTCAAGGATCCTTGCAGCAAGGACAATCCATCTGCACGTCACAGTCCCTGGCTGAGTACCTCATACAGAGGCACTCAAAAAATGTCTGTTGGTTGAATGAAACCCATGCCTTACAATATATTTAAAATTATTTAATCACACATATTAATGTTTAGTTTCATATTTATACCTACACTGTCCTGAGGGTAGGAAATGTATGTGCTAGGATTCTGGAGTTGAATATTTTTTTTTTTATTTAAAATTTTTTTTTTTTTTATGTTTTATTTATTTCTAGGAGAGAGAGAGACAGCGTGAGCAGGGGAGGGTCAGAGAGAGAGGGAGTCACAGACCAAAAGAGGCTCCAGGCTCTGAGCTGGCAGTCAGCACAGAGCCCGATGCGGGGCTTGAACCCACGAACCGCGAGATCATGACCTAAGCGAAAGTCGGACGCTTAACCGACTAAGCCACCCAGGCGCCCCTGGAGTTGAATATTTAAAAGGAGATCTGGATGTAGAAACTAATTTGACAATAAACTATTTGTAAAAAAAAAAAAAAAATAAAAAAAAAAATAAAAGGAGATCTGGAGTCTCCGCTATGGAGAGCTAACTAGAAGATGGAATTGGAAATTAAAGGCTGATAAACTCTTTCAGCTAACATTAAGAAACACCTACATTCTAATCATTAGTACTTTCCTAGATAATATAGCATGTTCATCAGCTTCATGATGAATACCATAAACATGAACTATAGAGAACCTAAATTATGCAAAGATAAAGATTGACAGGAATTCCATTTCCAGATGACCTTAATGCATTTGGAGTTAATCTGCTCTTTTTGTTGTTGTTGTTGCTTCCAAAGGACTGTAAATTATGCACTTGCTGAATTTTGCCTTTGTCACACATGACCTAACAAGGAAGGCATTCATCATACCATAGTAGCCTCCCTCAAGTATCTGGTTCTAAACAGCTGCAAATTTTGGAAGATCACACTAAATGTCTCTAATGATTAGTATGTTCTCCCCCAACAAATATTAAACAGGATTAAGGCTTACTAGGACATCAAAACTGTCCAAATTAAACTGACCATAAATTTAGGTTTAGAAAATAAAGTAGAAATTTTGTATAAGAATTTAAATTCTATGTTTTAATAGAATTGATCCAATAAACCTATCTAAAGAATTTGGAAAATTCATAAAATACAGCACTTTCATTTCTTCCTATTTGCTTTAGCTGTCAGAAAGATGCCGTAATCACTAATGAGTGGTTGATTTAGTCCCTTCAAATGCAGTAACTGAAGAAGATAACAAAATATTTTAAACGAGATCTCAAATAAATTTCCATTCATAAGAAGTAAAAGCTACTTCCTAGACCCAAAACTTCAAGGCCTGGTTCTTTGAAGTTTGGTCTGGGTCTTTGAAGAAAAACATCTTGCCAAAGATAGAAACAAGCTATAAAAATGTTCCAGAAGAGTTATAGCTTGTTAAATAGTTAAACAACTATACATATAGGCTGGCTTTTCTATACCTGTCATTGTTCCTCAATCACATCAGAATACACTAAAGACATTATTCTCTGGCTATTAACTCATGTTCCATTAGGAAAAAAAAATCGTAACTACTAAGCACAACAGAGGAGGAAAAAGCACTGCCAGGAAGAGACTACTGTATTATCATCATTTATATGTCTTTCAATTCACATGCAGTTTGACTTTCATCCCTTCCCATACACACAAGTACCATATACTTAATTTACACAGAGCCACATAGCCTGCCCCCAAAAGGCTACTTGGAAAAGACCTGTACAAGTGTCTTTCTAAATCTCCTTCAACTTCATTATGTAATATCTTGCCACAATCCTTTCATCTGAGAGTAGGTTAACTAAAACCTTCAATATTAGCAGTTTCATGTTAATTTGGTACCTATCAGTCTTGAGGATTCAAAGGTTCAAATTTTAGAGCCTTCAATCAACATCATCACCATGTAATTTCTAATTTCTTAAAAGAAAACAAAATAACAGTTTTCAGTACTACACATAATTCTGTCAAATTTCCAAGGTATGGTGAGGATCAAAAAGAAATTTATAAGAAAGTCTTCTTTTGTGAACTTCCAGTCAAATGCAACAGTAATTAATGAGGGTAAATTTTTGCTTTCATTTACTGTGTTAATGTACGCAGCACAACTTCCATCCACATGTTGATGCAAAATTCAGAGAGACAATACTTATCAATCACCTTTAAAGAGCAAATGGAGAAGAGGAACTATTAAGAACCGGAAAAAACCTACCATTACAAATCAAGGTCAATGAGGAAGGACTGAGGACTGCTACCCAAGCTTCCTGCTGAAGACCCTATACTGTAATTATGCTTCAATTTTGAGGCAACTAACTTTCAAACTAGATTCTATTTAAATGATCCTGTAGAGAGAAAAAAAATTATATTGATAAGCTGAAATACCTGAAGAGGGCCAACAATGGCAAGTGACTAGCTTCTCTTCTGGCCTGATCTCCTTTGAAAGCTTTGGAAGAAAAACAATATTCACAGACAAGGCACTTTAAAAAAAATTCTAGGGGCGCCTGGGTGGCTCAGGTCATGATCTCACAGTTTGAGTTGAAGCCCCACATCAGGCTTCATGCTGAAAACGCTGGGCCTGCTGGGGATGGATCCTCTCTCTCTGCCCCTCCCCTGCTCACACTCCCTCTCTCTCTCAAAAAAAAAAAAAAAAATAATAATAATAATAATAAACTTTTCAAAAATAACATAAAAAATATAAAAACTCTGTAGTTTCATATTTGAAAACAATACAGACAAAATCTGTTACCTGTCCAGACAAGCAGTCCTGGAAACTGTTATTGTCACGGCCCAGTCTTAGTGGGAAACAGCCTGTTGGTGAGTTATAACCATAGGAAACCCTCAATTATCCGTCATAGTACAAGACAAGAACAACCTAAATAAATTAAATCGTCAGGTAATTATTACTTAAAAAGAATGCTGGATTAATTCAAACCTCCCTCCTTACCCCTCCACCCCTTTAAAATAAAAAAAGTTCATTTAAGGTCCGCTCTGCCTTTCTAGCAACTCCCTGACAAAATTGCGAAGCAGCAGGTACCGTATTTGATTTCAAAACGGTGTAGCAAAAAAAAAAAACAAAACAAAACAAAGGGGGGGGTGGGTAAGGCAAACGGAATTATCAGCACTCCAGCTGGTTCTATTTCCTCAGCAATTCCAATCACAAAGCATCAAACTAGGAGTTCAGCTTCCTAATAGGCGTTCCCTCACATTAAACGCTCAACCCTCCCCAAACCTCCTGATTTACATTTTTCTACATCAAACGTGTCTTACTGAACTGTACTAACAATGCTTGTTCGAAATGAAGTTAAAGAACTTGACAACGATTACAATTGTGAAATGCTGATATCAAAGCACTTTCTATTCAAATCCGCGGCGATTCCAGGCGTTGATAAAAGCCTGAACTTCCTTTTTCGCCCCTCCTGGTCTTCCCCGCCCTTCCACGCGCCAAGGTCCCCCCCGGGGTCTGCAGTGACATCATAGCCCATCTCTTGGACCCCTCTGACGTCACGAACACGAGGACCCAGAGCACTGTGACTTCATCGGTGATTAGGGCCGACCCGCAGTCGCCTTGCGCCTGCCCAGAGGCGAGAGGAGCTTCAGAGCCCCGGTCCTGCCCGGTCCCAGAGGAAGATTAAGGGCAGGCGTCAGCTCACCTGCGCCGTGACGGAAAGGGCAGAGTGGCCGAGCCCGGGCGGGCGCGACCAGGCGAGGCGACCCCCGCCCAGGGCCCGACTTCCTCACCGGCCGCGGGTCCCGGAGGTGAGAGAGCCGATCCAGTGCCTCCTCACGGCCTGGGATCTCCTGAGCTCTAGCCCGGACCGGGAACCCGGCTGCCACCCGCCGGCCCGCGCGACCTTCCGTGGCCCCCGGGGGCGCTCAGCGCGCGGCCCGAGCGCCGGCTGAGGCCGCTCCGGGAGGAGGCGCGCGCCTCGGGGCCCTTGCCCCAGACGCGCCGGGCGCGCCGCGAGCCCGGGACCCGCGGGCGGCGCCCCCGCCCCCACCCGCCCCGCGCCCCGGGAGCGCAGGCGGGCGGCGGGAGGGGGCGGGGAGCGGCCACGGTGGCCGCCGCCGCCGGACCCCGACCGCGCTCCGCTCACTCCATGCCTCACCGCGGCCCGGACCCACCTGCGCTCCTGCCCCGGTTGGGGCCTGGCCCGGGGCTGCAGCCCCCCGATGCGGCGTTAGCAGGAGGCCTGGCTCTCTCCCCACCGCTGAGGCGGACCGAGCGCCCAGCGCGGCGCGGCGGAGCCCAACGCTCGCCCCGAAACCCATTTGTTTGGCTAAAACGACGTGACGTCACGCGCCGGCCCAATCGACGGTTGGCCAGGGGAGGGGCTGCGGTACCAGGGGGTTGCAGCGACCCCTGCCGGGCACTCTGCGGTACTTCGGTCGCTGGGGACGGGAAGACTTGGGGACTTAAAAAGGGTGAGGTGTCTGCGAGCCCCCAAGTGGTGGAAAAGAGTGAAAGCTGGAGGACTAGCTGTAACGGAACGAAATCAAACCCTCAGGCTAGTCAGAAAGGTAGAAACGCCAGTGTTCAGTCCGTAGAAAAGACCAGTTTATAAGCACTTATGGGTGCCTCTGGAGCTACAAATGGTATTAGATACGATTAGATATTCTCGTGGACTTGGGTTCCAATTTTGATTCGACTACCGGCTTAGATTTCAGAGTTCGCGTTTGTAAAAAGAGTACCTTGTATCCTTTTCTATGCAAATCATGACAGGAATACCTATCTGCTGCACAGAAACTTGCAAGGTTGGCAATCTCAAAATGTAGTCTGTAGAAGTTTAAGGAATTATAAAGAAATACAGAAAAGGTTTTTAATACTTTATTAATTTATTTAGTACTTTGAAGTCAGAGTGCCAGTGAGAAAACTTTTTATACCCAGGCTTTAAAATGATAATTGCTTTTATTGTAAAAACAATTTTAACTGTATTATAAAACAGAACAATAAAAACCCCTTCACACAAATACAGCCACTCTCAGCATCTAGTGTATTTTCCTTTAGACTTTTTTGTGCCATGCATATTTATTTTACAATGCTATCATAAAGTACACACAGTTTTGGGTCCTGTTTTTTCATGTATGTAAGTATTTTTCATATTTCAAATAAGCTTCATAAGCATTTTAACAGCTGAATAAAACTCTATTAAGTGGAGACGGGAGATTTACCAAATTAATTTTCCATTCTTGGACATATTCCCTTCTCTTTTTACCATTACAAAGAACTCACAGGACATACTCATGAATGTACATTCTTAAAGATGAATACCCTGCAATGGAACCATTAGGTGAAAGTGTATCAACAACATTTATAGTTACTAATACAAACTGCCAAAATGATTTTTTAGGGGCACCTAGGTGGCTCAGTCAGTTAAGTGTCGACTTCAGCTCAGGTCATGATCTCATGGCTACTGAGTTCGAGCCCTGCATCAGGTCTGTGCCTACGGTTCAGAGCCTTGGGCCTGCTTCGGATTCTGTGCCTCCCTCTCTATCTCTGCCCCTCCCTGCTCACACTCTCTCTCTCTCTGTCACAAAAATAAACATTAAAAAATTTAATGAATTTTTAAAGGTAGTACCAAGTCATACTTAATTTAGCAGCTTTGATTTTAGCCAGCCCTTTAAAAAGTAGTTTGTCCAATTACAAAGCTACTCTGGTAAAATACTTATGTATAAAATCTTAAATATCAAAAAGTAACCAAAATTAAAAGAATAAGGAAATATTTCCCATAATCTAACCACCAAGAAAAAAATCACTTAACTTCTCCATTTAGGCCTTTATCTATATACATAATTTTAATAAAAATTGGGGTGGGGACATCTGGATGAGTCAGTCAATTGAGCGTCAGACTCTTGATTTTGGCTCAGGTCATGATCTCACAGTTCATGGGATCAAGGCCCACGTCAGGCTCTGTGCTGACAGTGTGGACCCTGCTTGGGATTCCTTCTCTCTCTCTCTCCCTCCCTCCCCCCGTCCTGCTTGCATTTGTGCACTCTTACACTCTCTCAAAAAAATATTTTTAAAAATTGGGGAGGGAATCATACTGTACATATTGACATCAAACTGATTTAATATCAGATTAGTATTACCTCAGTATATCATGATCATTTGAAACTTCTCTGGGTCATATTTTACTCAGAGTTCTAAAACTTCAATCCATCCTTTCAGGTTCATCTCAAACACTATCCTCTTTAAAACTTCTTGATTCCTCACAGGAATCAAAAAAATTGATTCCTCTTATTTTTTTCCCCTTTCCTTACAGCCTTTATTTTACTCCACACACATCTTCCATGTGTGTATTTTATACCTCTGCTAGATTCTAAACTGCTGGAGTACAAGGATTATAACCAAATATCCATCAAAAGGTCCTATACTTGATACTGCTCAAATGTTTAATGGATAATTATAACCATGTTAATCTGTACTTTTCTCATGATGGTAGAAAAGCATGATATCCATTTTATAACAGTGCTTACTGCAGTTCATTAATATCAATATTTATTGCTTTACAATATTTTATCCAGACACTATTCTGTGTATCACATACATTCTTTCATTTAATCAGGAAAACACCTCTGTGAGGTGTTATTACAGATGAGGAAACTAAGGTTTGAAGACTTAAACCACTTGACCAGGATTGCACAGGTGGTATAGAGCCAAACTTAGCAAAGACTCTATCTAACATTTTACCATATCACTGTATTGTTTGGGGGAATTTCAGATGAGTTAAAGAGATTGTAACTACAAAGCACAGCAGAGATATCATTAAACTGAAATGACAATGGTTTCCATGTCAATAGCACGTCTTCATTGTCAAAAGTCCCATTAGAGTCTAGGTAGTCGAATTCAATGTTTTTCAAACTGTCTATGGTTAAGGACCAGTTTGGTTTTTTTTCTTAATACGTTGTAAACTGATGGTTTTGTAAAATACAATAAAACTAGAAAATAAGAAAAATGAAAATTAAAAAAGACAAAAGCCCAAATTCTTTATTATTAAATTTGACACACATAAAATTACTCTATCACATTGCTAGTAAAGTTTCTAAAACTCTTACTCTCAATTTCTGTTCTTATCACAGACTAATTCTAAAGCTGGTCAGTGGGGCCACACTTTGAATAGCACTCCTTTAGGAGAAATAGGAGGAGGAGGCGGTGAAACCATTTTAGGCAAGTCTTTCCCTTGATTCTATTTCTCCATTTACACAATGGGAATGATCCGCACAAAACAAAGCCAGTGGAGCTAGTGCAGTGCATCAGGCTACAGACCCTGTAACAGGTTCTGAGGAGGGAGCTCCCCAAAAAGGCGCCAGTGTGGCACAGTGAGCCCACAGGACTGAGGAGGAGCTGAAAGAGGAGCAAGATAAAGGTGGTCCAAGCAGCAAGCTCCTAAATATGCATAGTATACAACTTTGGTTATTCCATCAATGATTAAAACTTAATCATTTCAGGAATGCCTGGGGAGCTCAGTCAGTTAAGCATCCAACTTCGGCTCAGGTCATGATCTCGCAGTTCATGGGTTCAAGCCCCGCGTCAGGCTCTGTGCTGACAGCTCAGAGCCTGAAGCCTGCTTCAGAATCTGTGTCTCCCTCTATGCCGCTCCCCTGCTCACACTCTCTGTCTCTCCCTCTCTCTCTCAAAAATAAACATTTAAAAAACTAAAAAAATGTAATCATCTCACACCAGCAAACATACTGAATCAAACAGGTTTGTTTGTATAGACATGGTTTCATTACTCCTGTCTGCTCAGAATAAAAACTGAAAACCTTCTACTTATTCCTTAATAAGCTCACTCCTACCTCCAAAGGAAAAACAACATTTCATCTTCCTCCACACCCCCAAACTCTTGATCCTTAACCTACACCCTCCACTGCAATGAAAAGGAAAGCAAGAGAAAGCCTCCAGTAGACTTTGCATCTATGTCCATCCTTACTGCAGAACTAGGTCACTGGGTGTGAAAATGCCTTTCCTATCTAAACTATTATTATGAAGCTTAAATAAGAAAAAAGAGGTGAAAGAGCTGTCAAGTTTACCAAGTTAAAAGCACACACTTCAAGAGGTCTCGAAAAAGTCACTGGAAGCCCTGAGCCCCAATGCATGTATGTAGCATGATGGTGGCAGTGGAAGGCTGGGAAAGGCTACTCAGCCATGAGACATAACTTCGTTCACTATAAATAGAAAAACAACTAAAGAGAAACAGAAGGACAAAGGCAGCAAACTGCCAACAGATATGAGTGTATCTCATAACAGATGTGGATTGTGAGGGACATAGAGTTGAAAAGTATTGAAATCAGAAAATCATAGTTCTTATCCTTTTTTGGATCTGTGGCACCATGAAAATCTGATAAAAGCTAAAAACCAAGAGACTCCCTTCATGGGGGGGAGACAAATAAAGGATATATACACATAATATTTACAATAATTTTAATTTCTTCAAAAAAGTCCTTTACATTCACTGACTTTATGGTGAACTGCATGCTTATAAAAGGGAATAAAAGAAATGCAGGGTGATAACTGACAGCTTCCTCCAGTGAAATGGCAACTCAGTCAAGGTCCCAAGATCTCCTATCCCTGTGATATTGCCCTTAGAAGCTTACATTGTTTTCAGTGCCCTTTGACTTTTCAGATGATGGTTTCTACAACACCAACCCAATGGTTCACAGCAATTTCCATGTGTATCCTACTTTTTTTTTTTTTTTTGAGAGAGAGAGAGAAGGTGCAAGTGAGTGAGGGCAGAGAGAGAGAGAATCCCATGACGGGTAGAGAAAGAGAGAAGCAGGGCTCACCCAAAGCAGAGCTTGAGCTTACCCAATGCAGGAGTCAAACTCATGAACCATGAGATCATGACCTGAGCCCAATTCAGATGCTTAACCAACTGAGCCACCCAGGTGCCCCATATGTATCCCACTTATTGATGCACATTAAAGAGGCAATCCCTCCCAAGCTCCTCATAATTAACACTTAGGTAGATTTGATACCGGGCCATAATGGTTTCCTAGTTTTACTAGAAAGATAAACCTAAGCAACAGTGTCCATTCCTGATGTTCCTCTATTTAAAATCTCTATGTAGGACTTCCAGTAGTGGCGATTCAAGCTGCCAAAGCAAAATGAGTCAAAGTCAAAGTGGTGGTCAGGGCTCTGGAGGTGGCAACAAGGATGACAGGGACAAGAAAAAGAAATACGAACCTCCTGTACCAACTAGAGTGGGGAAAAAGAAGAAGAAAACAAAGGGACCAATGCTGCCAGCAAGCTGCCCCTTTTG